TGCGCGCCCGTCAAACGCGTTCGCGCACAAAGACAAACATCCCCCCCCCCCCCCCCCCCCGTGGTGCCTTAACAGACTTGTGGGGTTAAATTTTGATTTAAAGCTTTCGTGACTGCAGGGATTCATATTATTGGTTCTTTCGGTAAAGTCGCGTAGAAGGGAGATGTGGATTTCACACCTGATGACGATTGCTTGTGTTGCAGTCGAAACGTCGTGAGAATTTTTATTGTTTAATATTTTTATTATTTTAGTATCTCCCTTCTACGTGACTTTAACCGAAAGAACCAAGAATATAGACTTGTGGGGGTCAAGCGCTGTCAAGCGAGTAGCAACCGCCTCTGAAGGCCGCCACGGCGCACGACATCGGGTGGGTGATATTCGCTCGGCCAACGAGAGCAACTGGAACAATTTCAACGACTTGTTATTTCACCAGGTGCTACGCAACTCTTTTTCAGAAGCGACCTCCTGGGCGATCACTATGTACGGTGCGAAAGAAGTTCAACAACCGCCATTCGCCACTAAGTGGCGGTGACGTCACCACGACGCTTGCATCAGGCGAGGTGCACTTTGAGGCCACGTGAAGTTCAACACGCACGTGTACATACACGCATAGTCACTCACCCACACACAGTCACTCACCCACTCACACAGTCACTCACCCACTCACACAGTCACTCACCCACACACACAGTCACTCACACAGTCACTCACCCACTCACACAGTCACTCACCCACTCACACAGTCACTCACCCACTCACACAGTCACTCACCCACTCACACAATCACTCACCCACTCACACAGTCACTCACACAGTCACTCACCTACTCACATAGTCACTCACACACTCACACAGCCACTCACCCACTCACAGTCACTCACCCACTCACACAGTCACTCACCCACTCACACAGTCACTCACCCACTCACACAGTCACTCACCCACTCACACAGTCACTCACCCACTCACACAGTCACTCACCCACTCACACAGTCACTCACCCACTCACACAGTCACTCACACACTCACACAGTCACTCACTCACACAGTTACTCACCCACTCACACAGTTACTCACCCACTCACACAGTCACTCACCCACTCACACAGTCACTCACCCACTCACGTAGTCACTCACCCACTCACATAGTCACTCACCCACTCAGTCACTCACCCACTCACATAGTCACTCACCCACTCACATAGTCACTCACCCACTCACACAGTCACTCACCCACTCACATAGTCACTCACCCACACACTCACCCATCCTCCTATCAACATAGACACAGACGAATAACACTGCAGGGAAGGCATCCCCCACATATGCAATGATATTATGGGGGATGCACCGAATCGAAGAGCACTCACTTCTCCAGGAAAGCATCTCCAGCGCCAAGCGAAGTCTGCCTGTGCTCATTTGAGGCTGAGTCGGCATTGGGGAGGCCCAAGACCGCTTCAGATATTCGCCACTGTTATTGGCCGTGAGCTGCAATCAAACTCGGGCCGCCGTCTCCGTAGTGCAGTGCGCTAACCGCTGCGCCACCACTCCCCGCTAAACACATGCTACACACAACAACAACCGCTGTTCGCCACTAAGTGGTGGTGACGTCACCACGACGCTTGCACCAGGCTAGGTGCACTTTGAGGCCACGTGAAGTTGATAAGGTCCGCTGGCAGAAGGTCACGGAACAGACCCAAGTGCAATGGGTTGACCTGACTGCGATGACTGGCAGATGCACCACCTGTGCCCCCTACCGTGCCAACTTGCTGCGTTTAACCCGCCCGGCGCTCCGCTCGTCGTTGTGAGCATCGCTCCTCTGCCCTCTGCTGTTGTTGGAGGGTGACTGCCTCCAACTGCCCAGTAGCGTCCTTCACGAACCTCCTCCACGGAGATCGATCTTGACACCGCCGGTACTGGTCATCAGCAAATCCACTCAGCTCCATATCCTCCTGCTGTACGATATCTGCTCCATCTCTTCTCTGGCTCTTCCCGCGCCCGTTTAGCCCAACTATCAAGCCAAACAGAAGCTGCTTGAGCATGCGGGTGACGGGGCATGCGGGCTACATGACCCAGCCAACACAAAGACAGACGCACGCACATGACACAGGGACATGCGCTCGCACACGATCTCTGGCACACGATTTCTGACACGTGATCTCTGACACACGATCTCTGACACACGATCTGTGACACACCATCTGTGACACACCATCTCTGACACACCATCTCTGACACACGATCTGTGACACACCATCTGTCACACACCATCTCTGACACACCATCTGTGACACACCATCTTTGACACACCATCTGTGACACACCATCTGTGACACACAATCTCTGACACACGATTTCTGACACACCATCTCTGACACACGTGTGCACAGCAGCAGAGGCGGTACCTCCACTGTCATGACGTAGAGGCCGTCGAGGCGGTCAAGGCTCTTGAGCATAGTGACGTCATCGTCCTGCACAGAGACACAGTGAGATACACAGAGACACAGTGAGACACACAGAGACACGGTGAGACACAGAGACACGGTGAGACACAGAGACACGGTGAGACACAGAGACAGAGACACGGTGAGACACACAGAGACACGGTGAGACACACAGAGACACGGTGAGACACAGAGACAGAGACACAGTGAGACAGAGACACGGTGAGACACACACAGACAGAGACACACAGTGACACAGTGAGACACACAGAAACACGGTGAGACACAGAGACACAGTGAGACACACAGAGACACAGTGAGACACAGTGAGACACACAGACACAGTGAGACACACAGACAGAGACACACAGTGACACAGTGAGACACACAGAGACACGGTGAGTCAGAGACACAGTGAGACACAGAGACAGAGACACAGTGAGACAGAGACACGGTGAGACACACAGACAGAGACACACACAGAGACACAGAGACACACAGAGACACGGTGAGACACACACACACACACAGAGACACACACACAGACACGGTGAGACACACACAGACAGAGACACACAGAGACACAGTGAGACACACAGAGACACACACACAGACACACAGAGACATGGTGAGACACACAGAGACACACAGAGACACAGTGACACACACAGAGACAAGGTGAGACACACAGAGACACACACAGACAGAGACAGACAGACACACACACACAGACACACACAGATACACACACACAGAGTCACTCACCTGGACTCCGCGGGCTCGCCTCACGCTGCTCTCCACGTACTCGGCCCTCCTGACCGCGCTCCGCTCGGCGCTGCGGGCTTCCCTCTTGGCGGCGCTCCTCACCCTCACGCTCAGCCTCGCGCGGTCCGGGGCCCCGCGCAGCTCGGCGCGGCCCACGACGCGCACCTCGCGGCCGCGAGACGGCGGCGACGCGGGGCAGGAGGAGGAGGAGGAGGAGAAGGGAGGGAAGGAGGAGACCACGGGGTTACTGCCACGGCTCATGGGCGCCGCCATTAGCGTCGCGAACACGCGCGCCGCCATCGCCGTCGCCCTTGGTAACGGGCGCACGTCGTGACGTCAACGCGTACGGTACGCGAGGGGGGGAGGGGCGATCGCTGGTGGCGTGACGTCACCGCGCACACGCCGTGACGTCAACGCGTACGGTACGCGGGGGGGAGGGGCGATCGCTGGTGGCGTGACGTCACCGCGCACACGCCGTGACGTCAACGCGTACGGTACGCGAGGGGGGGAGGGGCGATCGCTGGTGGGCGTGACGTCACCGCGCACACGCCGCCCCCCCCCACCACCCTCCGCAAGTGACGTCACCGCGTGGCGGGGGGCTGTTGGAATCGCAGTAGTTGTGACGTCACCACAGCATTACTCCCCTCCACCCTTGCACGTGACGTCACGCTGGGCTGGCATTCGCAGTTGTCGTGACGTACACACACAGCAAATGCAGTTGTGACGGCATTCGCACGCACGCTACGTGACGTCATTGTTCAACCTTGCGCGTGACGTCACCGCGCACTTTGAGTTCGCCGATCGTAGTCGTGGTGACGTCGCCTCACAGCGTTGGTGTGTGCGAGATGACGTCACCACACTTATTGTAAAGTCAGAATCGGAGTTCTAGATTTGAAGCTTTCGTGACTGCAAGGATTTATACTCTGAGGTTTTTTCGGTAAAAGCCACGTAGGTAAAAATAAATAAATAATAATGTTTTCTTCTACAAAGAAAATAATAAATCACGACGTTTCGGAGGCAACACAAGCTTCCTTCATCAGGTGTAAAAAGGCACAGCAAAATAACTGTATAGTTATTTGTTATTTTTCGATTTAAAGCTTTCGTGACTGCAGGGATTCATCTTATTGGTTCTTTCGGTAAAGTCACGTAGAAGGGAAATAATAAAATAATAATATAATACATTTGTTATGTTTATTATTTTATTATTTCCATTCTACGTGACTTTACCGAAAGCACCAAGAAGATTATTTGTTATTGTCAGTTATTTTGCTGTTCCTTTTTACACCTGATGAAGGAAGCTCGTGTTGCCTCCGAAACGTCGTGATTTATTATTTTATTTCTATTATTTTTATTATTTATTCAGAATCGGAGTGTTCATTCATCATGGAGGTGGAATCCGATGAGCGAAAAAGCTCTTTTTTTCACAAATGCCCAAGCATCAGCCCTTCATTTTTACTTTTGTTGAGGCCACACGCGGTTTTATTGACGAAAGTGTTGAATTGTTTGTTTGTTCAGAGTTTTATGTCATTTTTTTATTTAAAGAAAATAAAATTAGCGCTGAACGAGCACTTAACATAGAACACGGGGACGTTTAAAGAATCGATCGCGTGGAATCGATAACCCCGAATCGCGCGCCGTTCGCCAAGCGCGGTTGTATGAGGGCTTTAGAATCGATTATAGAATCGAAAAGGTATCGATTTACATCGCGGTTCATATCGTCGTGTGGGGGGGAGGGGGTGTGTATCGATTCGTGAATCGATTCTTGAATCGAACAGCGATTCCAGCTGGAATCGCGTCGCAATTCGGGTCGCGAGGAGTGGAGCTGCGGGGAAATCTGCCGAGCGAGTCCGAGGTTCGCGTAAAGCACCACAACAACAACAACAACCACAACCACAACAACAACAACCACAACAACAACCACCACAACAACCACAACAAAAACCACACTGCTGCAACCACAGCAGCAGCAACAGCCACATAACCAACAACCACGACAACAACCACCACAACAACCACACTGCTACAACAACAACTGCATCAACAACAATAGCAACAACAACAACCACAACAACAACCACAACAATCACAGCAGCAACCACACAGCAACAACAACAACCACACTGCTGCAACCACAACAACCACGACCAACACCACCACAACAACCACACTGCTACAACAACAACTGCTACAACAACAACAACTGCAACAACAACAACAACCACGACAACAACGCGCCACACACACACAGGAGGGGGGTGTCGGGGGTAACCCAAGCCGGCGACCTTCAGGCCCCAAGGCCTCAACGGAGCCTCCCTCTCGCCTCGCCGCTCAAGTTCACCCGGGAAGAAGGGGTGCGGGTGAGTGTGCGCCACTGCGTGGAGAAGTAGGCCAAGTTACACCCCCCACACACACGCACACACGACTGTAGAGCGAACGGTGGTTTCTGGATAAAGCCGTGGCACAAATACGGCTGTCACCACGTGCGTTCAGATGCCCTTCTGCCGGCCGTCTGGAACATTCTGCCCTGCACTCACACAGTCACTCACCCACTCACATAGTCACTCACCCACTCACATAGTCACTCACACAGTCACTCACCCACTCACGCAGACACTCAGCCACTCACATACTCACTCACCCACTCACGCAGACACCCACTCACATAATCACTCGCCCACTCACATAGTCACTCACACACTCACATAGTCACTCACACAGTCACTCACCCACTCACATAGTCACTCACACAGTCACTCACACAGTCACTCACCCACTCACATAGTCACTCACCCACTCACACAGCCACTCACCCACTCACACAGTCACTCACCCACTCACATAGTCACTCACCCACTCACATAGTCACTCACCCACTCTCACAGTCACTCACATAGTCACTCACGCAGTCACTCACCCACTCACATAGTCACTCACCCACTCACGCAGACACCCACTCACATAATCACTCACCCACTCACACAGTCACTCACATAGACACTCACCCACTCACTCGCCCAGTCACATAGTCACTCACTCACGCAGTCACTCACCCACTCACACAGTCACTCACCCACTCACACAGTCACTCACCCACTCACACAGTCACTCACACAGTCACTCACTCACACAGCACTCACGCAGTCACTCACCCACTCACACAGTCACTCACCCACTCACATAGTCACTCACACAGTCACACAGTCACTCACATAGTCACTCACCCACACACTCACCCATCCGATTAGCACGGTTGACTACGTACGTTGCGAATTAAGTTAAACGTATATACATAGACTCACATAGTCACTCACCTAGTGGGCCCATGCACGTATATACGCCTCTTATGTGACGGCCTTAAACAGGTGAGCTAATTTGAGAAAGACATTACTCTCTAAGTCTATGGGTCTCACAGACTCTCTACGCGAATCTGGGGTCTCTACGTGAGTCGATGGGGTCTCTACGTGAGTCTATGGGTCTCTGTGTGAGTCTACGGGTCTATGTGTGAGTCTATGGGTTTCTGTGTGAGTCTATGGGTCTCTGTGTGAGTCTATGGGTCTATGTGTGAGTCTATGGGTCTATGTGTGAGTCTATGGGTCTCTGTGTGAATCTATGGGTCTCTGTGTGAGTCTGTGGGTCTCTGTGTGAGTCTATGGGTCTCTGTGAGTCTATAGTTTTCTGCGTGAGTCTGTGGGTCTTTATGTGAGTCTGGGCCTCTACATGAGTCCATGGGTCTCTATGCGTGTCGACTTGCTGTGCGTGTTGCCAAGCTGCATTGACTTGCTGTGTGTGTCGGCTTGCTGTGTTGACTTGCTGTGCGTGTTGATGCGCTGCATTGACTGTGTGTGTCGGCTTGCTGTGTTGACTTGCTGTGTGTGTTGATGCGCTGCATTGACTGTGTGTGTCGGCTTGCTGTGTTGACTTGCTGTGCGTGTTGATGCGCTGCATTGACTGTGTGTGTCGGCTTGCTGTGTTGACTTGCTGTGTGTGTTGATGCGCTGCATTGACTATGTGTGTCGGCTTGCTGTGTTGACTTGCTGTGTGTGTTGATGCGCTGCATTGACTGTGTGTGTCAGCTTGCTGCGTTGACTTGCTGTGCGTGTTGATGCGCTGCAGTGACTGTGTGTGTCGGCTTGCTGCGTTGACTTGCTGTGTGTGTCGGCTTGCTGTGTGTTTCCGTGCAGGTGTAGGCCGCTCTGCCGTAGCCCTCATGCTGGTGGTGCCGGTTTCCCGCTTGGCCTCCGCCCTGGCTCCCCGCGCCCAGGCCTGGAGATCTCCCCTCAGGGTGCAGCCGCTCGGTGCGGCCTTCATCATCGCCACCACCGCCGTCGTCCCGCATGTGAGTCGGCGCCACCGCGGTGTTGGTGGTGAAGACCGCTCAGTGGGGCCTTCACCGCCACCACGGTCCCGCATGTGCGTCAGCGCCACCACAGTAGTGGCAGTGGTGAAAACCACTCAGTGGGGCCTTCACCACCACCGCCACCACTGCTGTCGTCGCGCATGTGCGTGAGCGCCACCTTTGTGGTTGCGATGGTGGTGGTGGTGGCGGTGGTGAAGACCGCTCAGTGCGGTCTACATCACCGCCACCACCGTCACTGTGGTGGTGGTGGTGGCGGCCGCGTGTCCGGGCGTTCGTTTTTCGCTCGGCGTTCTCCCCCCCGCCCCCCCGGCTCAAATCGGCGAATGGCAAGGAAGAGGCCTCCTCTGTCGATCGTGGCAGATTTGCCTCCCATTGCTTCCTCTCGTCTCTTTGATTCACCCCCGTTCCCTTCGCCTGTTTTAGGCCCAGGGGCAGCAGCGGCGGCGGTGGTGGAGGGGGGGCCACTGGGGCACCCCTGCGGGGGTCGTGAACCCCGCGCGACCCCGCGACCTCGGCCCCCCTTTGCGGTCGGCGTGGTCGCGAGGCCTCTCCACGGCAACGCAGGGGGGCGGCGGCTCCTCGTACCAGCGTGGGCGGAAGGGACGCAGCAAGGACGCTCGCCCGGAGGAAGATGACAGCAACGAGGTGAGCGGGAGGGAGCGGTGAGGCGAGAGGGAGGGAGCGGTGAGGCGAGCGGGAGGGAGCGGTGAGGCGAGAGGGCGCGTGTGTGTCCATGATAATATCAAAACCGTGAGAGAGTGAAAGCGTTTCCCCTGTCGTGGTATCGAAGCTTCCGCGCTGCGTCCGCTCACGTGCTGGGGGGGGGGGGGGGTTTGGGAGAGATCTCAGAGCCAGTTATTCCATCGTCCCTTTTTCGTCGCGACAAACGGGGAGGCCGTGGTCATTGAGACCCTGCTGGTCATCGCGTTGAGACCCTGCCGGTCATCGCGTTGAGACCCTGCCGGTCATCGCGTTGAGACCCTGCTGGTCATCGTGGGTGAGACCCTGCTGGTCATCGTGGGTGGGACCCTGCCGGTCATCGCGTTGAGACCCTGCCGGTCATCGCGTTGAGACCCTGCCGGTGATCGCGTTGAGACCCTGCTGGTGATCGTGTTGAGATCCTGCCGGTCATCGTGGGTGAGGTCCTGCTGGTCATTGCGTTGAGACCCTGCTGGTGATCGTGTTGAGACCCTGCCGGTCATCGTGGGTGAGGTCCTGCCGCTCGTCGTTCTACAGGAGCAGCCTGGCGAGGGGGAGGAGGAGGAGGAGGAGGCTTCGTTCGTGACGCAGGAAGGTGTCGTGAAGGACTACAAGGACCTTGATAAGACGGTGGCTTCCTTCCGATTTGACCTCGTCATGAAGGCCGGCCTGGACATCTCAAACAAGTGAGACACATCATGGTCATCCGCGCCTCACGATTAGCATGGTTGGCTACGTAGGGTGCGAAAGAAGTTCTACGTACGTACATCGTCATCGTCATTGCGAGTGTGCTCATGATTGCGAGTGTGCACTGTCTGTGTGATGTCTTCTGTCTGGTGTGTGCTTTCTGGTGCGTTTGCGTCGTCCGTTGCGTTCTCACTTTCACGTCGTCGGTGCCGCCTGCTCCATCTCTACTCTTTGGTTCTTTCGGTAAAGTCACGTAGAAGGGAAATAATAAAAGAATAAAAATAAACGCAAGTAGCCGTCCTCAGGTGAAGACCGCTGTCTCCCCGACAGACCTGGTCTTCACCTGAGGACGGCTGCTTGCGTTGTGGCTGAAATGTCGTGAGAATTATTTTATTATGTTTTATTTTTATTATTTTATTATTTCCCTTCTACGTGACTTTACCGAAAAAACCAAGAAGATTAATCCCTGCAGTCACGAAAGCTTTAAATCGAAATTTGATTTCATAAACTTTTTTTTTACCTACGTGACTTTACCGAAAGAACCAAAGAGTATGGATCCTTGCAGTCACGAAAACTTCAAATCTAGACTGCTCCATCTCGTTTATTCGTGTTGCACACCTCATTTCGCCTCGTCCGTGTCGTTCGCGACAAACCACGATGACGAATCCTCGTCCCCGTTCAGCAACACTCGGCTACGTCGACGCCATAGGTCGGTCGCCTCTCCCCCCCCCCCCCTCTCCCCCGCGTGCACCAATCGACGTGCGTTGTGACAAGCGATTCGGACGGACGGCTCGCATCACCGCCGTAGTGTAGCGTCACCATAGCGCTGCGTCGCTGCGTAGCGTAATGTAGCATTGCGTAGCGTCACATCGCTGCGTAGCGTAACGTAGCGTTGCGTCGCTCCGTAGCGTTGCGTAGCGTCACACCCTCGAGTTCCTCCCCCCCCCCCCGAGGTCACGAGGTCACGCCCCCCCCCCCCCCTTGCGGTGTCGCGCAGGGCCATCGAGGACGCCTTCTACGCCAACCGCCTGCGGCTCAACGGACAGCGGCTGATCAAGAAGAGCCGCACGGTAGGCGGCGAAGCAGGCTCGGCCACGCCACGCACGGACTCGCGTAGAAATACACAGACTCACACGGACTCGCACGGACTCACACGGACTCGCACGAACTCGCACGGATTCACACAGACTCGCACGGACTCACACGGACTCGCACGGACTCACACGGACTCGCACGGACTCGCACGGACTCACACGAACTCACACGGACTCACACGAACTCACACGGACTCACACGGACTCACACGGACTCGCACGGACTCGCACGAACTCACACGAACTCGCACGGACTCACACGGACTCGCACGGACTCGCACGGACTCGCACGGACTTGCACGGACTCATGAACTCGCACGGACTCGCACGGACTCGCATGGACTCACACAGACTCACACGAACTCACGTGGACTCACACGGACTCACACGAACTCACACGAACTCACACGAACTCACACAAACTCGCACGGACTCGCACGGACTCGCACAGACTCATGAACTCACACGGATTCACAGACTCACACGGACTCACACGAACTCACACAAACTCGCACGGACTCGCACAGACTCATGAACTCACGCGGATTCACAGACTCACACGGATTCACACGGATTCACACAGACTCGCATACAAATGCACAGACTCACACGGACTCACACGGACTCACACGGACATGGACACACCGTTACTCGCGCAAACGCACGGCTGCACAGGGCGAAAACGTGGGGCCCTGCAATTTGCTCCCCGCCACTGCTGGTGCAAGAGCCCTCCACTCACGGGAGAGAGAGGGAGGGGGTGGGGTGGGGGGGAGGGAGGAGGTGGGGTGGGAAGAAGGGAGGGAGAGGGTGGGGGAGTGAGGAAGGAGGTGGGGGAAGGGAGGAGGTGGGGTGGGGGGGAGGGAGGAGGTGGGGTGGGGGGGAGGGTGGGGTGGGGGGGAGGGAGGTGGGGTGGGGGGGAGAGAGGGAGGGAGGAAGGAGGTGGGGTGGGGGGGAGGGAGGAGGTGGGGTGGGGGGGAGGGTGGGAGAGGGTGGGGGGGAGGGAGGAGGTGGGGGGAAGGGAGGGAGGAGGTGGGGTGGGGGGAGGGAGGAGGTGGGGTGGGGGGGAGGGAGGAGGTGGGGTGGGGGGGAGGGTGGGAGAGGGTGGGGGGGAGGGAGGGAGGGAGGAGGTGGGGGGGAGGGAGGGAGGGAGGAGGTGGGGTGGGGGGGAGGGAGGGAGGTGGGGTGGGGGGGAGGGAAGGGGTGGGGGGGAGGGAGGGAGGGAGGGAGGGGGAGCTCCGGAGGGGGGGGGGGGTGAGGGATGAGCGGTCAGGTCACAGGCCGAGCGGATGACAAGCCCGGGAGCTCAGCTGGTTCTTGTTGTTGCTGTTACTGGCGAAGCGTCACGGCTACTCGAATTGTCAATGTCGTAGTGGGTTTACTCTCCAACACACAACCGGTTAGTGCTGTACTAGTAACGAATTGTTAATGTTGCAGTGGGTTTACTCTCCAACACACAACCGGTTAGTGCTGTACTAGTATACTACACTATAGGCTACATTACTATACACTACACTACTATCCACTAAGATACACTATTATACACTACACTATACTTGTAAACGTCGTGGGTTTACTTCTCTAACACACGACCGGTGAGTGCTGAACAAGTCGGCGATTGGGCCCGTTTAGTTTACGTGGCAAAGTTGGGCCCGTTTAGTTTACGTGGCAAAGTTGGGCACGTTTAGATTACGTGGCAAAGTTGGGCCCGTTTAGTTTACGTGGCAAAGTTGGGCACGTTTAGATTACGTGGCAAAGTTGGGCACGTTTAGTTTACGTGGCAAAGTTGGGCCCGTTTAGTTTACATGGCAAAGTTGGGCACGTTTAGATTACGTGGCAAAGTTGGGCACGTTTAGATTACGTGGCAAAGTTGGGCCCGTTTAGTTTACGTGGCAAAGTTGGGCACGTTTAGATTACGTGGCAAAGTTGGGCACGTTTAGTTTACATGGCAAAGTTGGGCACGTTTAGTTTACATGGCAAAGTTGGGCACGTTTAGTTTACGTGGCAAAGTTGGGCCCGTTTAGTTTACGTGGCAAAGTTGGGCACGTTTAGATTACGTGGCAAAGTTGGGCCCGATTAGTTTACGTGGCAAAGTTGGGCACGTTTAGTTTACGTGGCAAAGTTGGGCCCGATTAGTTTACGTGGCAAAGTTGGGCCCGTTTAGTTTACGTGGCAAAGTTGGGCCCGATTAGTTTACGTGGCAAAGTTGGGCCCGTTTAGTTTACGTGGCAAAGTTGGGCACGTTTAGTTTACGTGGCAAAGTTGGGCCCGTTTAGTTTACGTGGCAAAGTTGGGCCCGATTAGTTTACGTGGCAAAGTTGGGCCCGTTTAGTTTACGTGGCAAAGTTGGGCCCGATTAGTTTACGTGGCAAAGTTGGGCCCGTTTAGTTTACGTGGCAAAGTTGGGCACGTTTAGTTTGTGGCAAAGTTGGGCCCGATTAGTTTGTGGCAAAGTTGGGCCCGATTAGTTTACGTGGCAAAGTTGGGCACGTTTAGTTTGTGGCAAAGTTGGGCACGTTTAGTTTACGTGGCAAAGTTGGGCATGTTTAGTTTACGTGGCAAAGTTGGGCCCGATTAGTTTACGTGGCAAAGTTGGGCCCGTTTAGTTTGTGGCAAAGTTGGGCCCGTTTAGTTTACGTGGCAAAGTTGGGCCCGTTTAGTTTGTGGCAAAGTTGGGCACGTTTAGTTTACGTGGCAAAGTTGGGCCCGTTTAGTTTGTGGCAAAGTTGGGCCCGTTTAGTTTACGTGGCAAAGTTGGGCCCGTTTAGTTTGTGGCAAAGTTGGGCACGTTTAGTTTACGTGGCAAAGTTGGGCCCGATTAGTTTACGTGGCAACCCCGTACTGAGTTGGCTGTGTCGTCGTCGTTATCGGCGGTGTTAACGACCGCATTCATACTCGCGGGAGCCCCCCTCCCCCGGGGCTTCTCCCCGCGACGACCGCTGCGTCCGCGACTCTCCACGCCGTCTCTCCGTCCTCCCTCCGCAGGTGCGCGAGGGCGACGTCCTGGACCTCCTGCTGCCGGTTCCCGCGGGGGCGCCGGCCTCGGCGTCGGCGTCGGTCCCGGCGGCGACGACCGACTCGGGGAGGAGGGGAGGAGACGCCCAGGGGGAGGCGGTGGCGCGCGTGGTGGTGCTGCGCGCCAGCGAGGAGCGCTCGCCCTCCCAGCGCTACGGCGTGCGCCTGCGCCGCTGGAAGCAGCTGCTGCTGCCGCCAGCGCCGCGCGGCACCGCCTAGGGGGGTGGGGGGGTAGCGGTGGGGGGGGGGGGGGTAACAGTGGGGGGGGGGTCCTCCGTACTCGCCGCTTTTCCACTGGTGCATCCGAGCCGAGCCAGCCTCCCTCGCCGCCGCCACCGCCGTCACCGCCGTCACCCCGCGGGTGAACTCAAGCTGCTGTTTGCTTTAGCAGGCCAGGGCCACGCTCTGAGCGAGCGTCATCATCATAATAATAGCGCTTTATTCAGGAGCGACACTGGCCGTCGCAGACGGATGCCTCAATGAAGTGGGTCGTTGTCATAGTGCGGGGAAATTTACAGCGGCGCCGATTGTAATAACGTGGAGTGGGCGGGGAAACCGGAAGGACCCGGAGAAAAATCCACGAGACCACACGGGGTGGGGGGGGGACACGTCGGGGGAGAGAGAGGGGAACCTCGTCGTGTCCGTGAAGCGGCGCCCGTGCGGCAGATAGCCTCGCTCGGCGAGAACGGACGACGCGGATACCACGCAGATACCACGCGGTTGTTACGAACGGCCGCCATCGCGGGGACTTTGCGCTCGGTGCGACCGGGGGGTGGGGGGGGGAGAGTTCCGTTTGCTTCATCACGAGACGCCGGTACGTTCCCCCGCCCCCCCCCCCCCCCCCCCCCCCTGTTATGGTCGAGCTAATTTCGGTGGATCGTGGTGGAGTGGGCGAGACTCTTTGGCAATCTGTCATTCCCATCGGGCAATAACACCACGTCCACAGTGCATAAAAAAACAAGTGCAGTCTCCCAATTATTACCACCACCCACGCGCTCTCTCTCTCGACTGGCCTCTTCTAATGTGCCGTGCAGCCAGGGCCATTGCCCCCGAAACGTCGCTCGTCATCGCCCTCATTGCGCACGCAAAGTCGCTCGCCACAGCAACGAACAGCAAAACGTCGCCGCTGGTCTCGTCGGGGAGCTGTGAACCATCGTCACCGCGCCACCGATTCTGGCCATCATCTTCGCAGCGGCGGCGGCGGCGGCTTCTGGCTGGGCCGTCGAACAAAGACGGCGGTGGTCACCGCATCGTCGCGTGGCGCCTTCTGATGGCGCTTCTGTGGCCGTCTGGAACGCTCTTCCTTCTGATATTCGGAAGCCGCTGGAAGCTGTGCACTTTTAAATCATCAGCGAGATTGAAAATGCATTTATTTAAAAACTGCTTTTTGTGTGTTTAGTTTGTTGTCCGTACCCCCTGCACCTCCAATTAGCACGGTTGGCTACGTACGGTGCGAAAGAAGTTCAACATACATACACACACGCTATACAATACACACTACACAACTACACAGTCCATTATACAGTACACTATGTACTACACCACTCTATGCTTCACAACTATACACTACACCACTATACTACATTGAAAACTGCTTTGTGTTTAGTTTGTCATCCTTCCCACAGTCACCCACACACTCACATAGTCACTCACCCACTCACACAGTCACTCACCCACTCACACAGTCACTCACCCACTCACACAGTCACTCACCCACTCACATAGTCACTCACCCACTCACACAGTCACTCACCCACTCACATAGTCACCCACTCACACAGTCACTAACCCACTCACACAGTCACTCACCTACTCAAATGGTCACTCACCCACTCACACAGTCACTCACCCACTCACACAGTCACTCACCCACTCACATAGTCACTCACCCACTCACACAGTCACTAACCCACTCACACAGTCACTCACCCACTCAAATGGTCACTCACCCACTCACACAGTCACTCACCCACTCACAGTCACTCACCCACTCACACAGTCATTCACATAGCCACTCACCCACTCACAGTCACCCACTCACACAGTCACTCACATAGCCACTCACCCACTCACACAGTCACTCACCCACTCACACAGTCACTCACCCACTCACATAGCCACTCACCCACTCACACAGTCACTCACCCACTCACACAGTCACTCACCCACTCACACAGTCACTCACCCACTCACACAGTCACACACCCACTCACACAGTCACTCACCCACTTATAGTCACTCACCCACTTACATAGTCACTCACACAGTCACCCACTCACATAGTCACTCACACAGTCACTCACCCACTCACACAGTCACCCACTCACATAGCCACTCACCCACTCACACAGTCACTCAGTCACTCACCCACTCACATAGTCACCCATTCACACAGTCACTCACCCACTCACAGTCACTCACCCACTCACACAGTCACTCACCCACTCACACAGTCACCCACTCACACAGTCACTCACCCACTCACACAGTCACTCGCCCGCACCTCCGATTGGCACGGTTGGCTACGTCACGGTGCGAAAGAAGTTCAACGTGCATGCGTCGGTACGCACACGCTCACTCCGCTTCGGTCGAGCCAGCAGCCTGAATGGGTTCCACCACGGCCGACCGTGCAGGTCGCGTACGGTAGGGTAACGCGTGGGTAACCTCCCCCTCCATCAACCTCTACCAAGACGGACGCCTTGGGGTGCAACGCGGAGGCTCAAAGTCCACTTCAGAGTGGCCTCGCCTTGCTGGCCGATACGTGGCGTGTGCGAAGAAGAGACCTGAGCTGCCCCCTACACCGTGCACGTGCAAGCGATGTGTGGGTGTCGGTGTGTGTGTGGTTAGCGCGCTGCGCTATGAACCCGGCGACACGGGTTCGATTCCCGCTCACGGCCAACACCAGTGACGATTATCTGAACCGGTCCTGGGCCTCCCCTAGGTCGACTCAGCCTCAAATGAGTACCTGGTGCGGTGTGTAAACATCGCCACTGGGGAGACAAAGGCGGTCGGGCGTGGTGCTGGCCACCCACCCCCTCGTGTACCGTTCTGGCCTTCATAGGTGCTCGCTAACAGCACTTGCCCCTACAGTCTGTTAAGGCTATATGGGGGATCTTTGTTGTTTTTGTGGGTTTCTACGCTTGCGAAACGTGTACCCCCCCCCCACTAATGGAACATCTTCGCCGGTTAGAAACATTCAGGCTGGCCTGCCTACGATCCATCCTGGGTTTAACCAGGCTGGATTGTGTGAGGAGCTCACAAATCCTTGATAGATCTGGGCAGAGTCCTATCGGTGAGCTCCTCCAGCAGGAAAGGCTGCGTTGGCTGGGTCATGTAGCCCGCAAGATCGGCCTCAGTGGAGGAGGCTCGTGAAGGACGCTACTGGGCAGTTGGAGGCAGTCACCCTCCAACAACAACGGAGGGCGGAGGAGCGACGCTCACAACAACGAGCGGAGCGCCGGGTGGCTAAAGCACAGCAAGTTGGCACAGTCGGGGGCACAGGTGGTGCATCAGCCAGTCCAGAGGGGGCGTGTCTTCACTGAGGGGGGCGTGTTAGACACGTCCCCCTCAGTGAGGCAGATGTGATAGGTGCCTCCCCTGGTGCTTTTTCATTGCAGTTTCACGACGAGACCAGCGAGCCTAAATATCTGTATACACATACGTGAAATAAGTTACCTGGACTATGGAAGGCGAGGACATGAAATGAAGGGGTCTACAAACATTACATTGGTGACATACTGAGATAGTAACAGGCACGCGCTTATTGCCCGCGCTCCATCCAGGTGTAGTGTTGTAAACGACGGACTTCTAAACTTCTTTATGACACACTGTTTATTGTCTTAATACACAGTCCCTATCACACAAAGGGGGTATATGGTCCCTTCACCCGTTACCCTCAGAAGGTACAAGCCTCCGGACCTTGCAGGCTATCTAATCTCCCTGCTATCCCAGCGTCCTCTGGCTGGACCTAGGGGATCTCTCCCCGACCACTGGTTACACTGAGCCCTAGCCCTGATAAGGGCTGGAGGGCTTGGTCCAGGGTCCTAGATGTCTTCAGCCGACTTGGGTCTTCGTGTAGCAGAACTGGCCAAGAGCTCTCAGCGCTCTGGCTTTTATACCTGTTCGTGGCCGGGTTGTCCAATCGCCGGCCACCTTGTGGAACCCTCCGATTGGTCCTTCCCAATCTGGCGTTTGGATCCTACCTCACCCCATTTGACCCTGACCGTTTGATTGAGCGGGAAAACCTTGTTTACGATCCGCTCGCGAACAGCGAGTAGTTATCACCACTACACAGTTACTGAGGGGTTGCGCAATCAGAGGGGAGGCTGAGCTCGTCGCTGCCTCACCTCGTCTCTTCCTGTATTAGCAGCGGAGCTCCGCAAATTTGACGATTTTTACGATAAGTAACATTTTTAAAAACTTTTTTTTAAACACGCTTTAATGAAATGTACCGTTACTAGTAATGGAATAACTCCACGACTCCAGGAAGTGGCCCTGAAGCTTGCCATAATGTAAGGGACCGTGGTGATTTACAGCCAACGTCAAGTTGAGCGTGGACAATTAGACCCAAGCCGAAACATAACGTATAAAAAATAATGTTTAAAGTTATGCATTTTTATGACAGAATGTAGTATTGTCATCAGTATGACATAAGTATACCAAGTTTGCAGTCGATACCACATTGGGAAGTGGGTTAAAATTGAGTTACAAGATTTGATGATACAAGTTCATGTATTAGGTATAGCCCTGTGAGCCATTCGGCTCTTGAATCGGGTGCAACCGCAACAAACAAAAAACATGAACAAGAAAACATCTTTAAGTGACTATGTGACTAAGTGCAAACAGAAAATCCAAGAAAAGACAGCAAAATAACGCAGAAAAAGCACCGTACACCAACACTGTGTGCACAAATCCCAGTGGGATGCAAGTCAAACAACAACAACCACAAGACAACTTAGATTAAGGCCATCAGTCTAACTCCGTACTACAACAAACAGTCACGTATAAAGAGAAAATAATAAATTAAATAATAGCATAACTTAGCAATCTTTGAAATACGTAATCAACCAGGCTATGCGTTAATTGTGTGTTGACCGACTCTCTGTGTTGCATTACAATACATTTCGATATTTTGCTAGGTTATTTAATTTAGTGCGTCTCTCTCCCGTTCTCCTAATTAAATCCTTTATATTAAGTTCACTTGCTTGCTTAGGACCGTGCAAATCTTTCAGTCG